CTGGCGCCGTGGAGAATCAGAGTCTCTGGGGAGGAGATGGTGCCAAAGGCTGAAGCCTGCCTCCCCCAGTTTATCGTTCCAGCCTTCCTCAGGTCTACACTGACAGTGATAAGTATTGACCTAGAGACAGCATGCCAAGTGCCAGCCTCCCTGGCATTAGAGCCTCTCCAGCCTTTAAAAGGCAGCACACATGTGGAAGTCTTTGTGGGCATGGGCATCTACCATCCACTCTCCCTCTCCACCTCATAGACCTTTCCTCTCTGGGCTCCACCAGCATCTAAGCCTAACTTGGGATGGAGAGCAGAGGTTAGGGGTGGGGGAGGGACAGAGACACATGCATCTTATTTCCAACTGGTTTGATTAAAATAAAGAGAGCCAGAGAAAAAGAAAAAGGAATGGGGTGGAGCTAGAAGTGGTCCAGAGTCGTCTACCCTGGCTAAGGCCTGGGCGTGGAGCTCAGAGTCAGCTCAGCCTCTGGGCAATGATACACTCATGAGGGGGGCGGGGAGACTGACAACCAAGTCTGAGCCCAGACATCTGCATCCTCTCCCTCACCTCCCCTTGGTGGAACAAGTGGAGGGCGGGCGGACAGGCGGATGGAGATGAGATGACGGGTAATTTCCATGCAGCTCATTAATTACCAGCAGAGGGGGTCCCTCTGGGCAACAGGGATGGCAAGTATAGCCATGTCTGCTGCTGGGGGGGGGCAGGGGAAGGCCGATGATCCCTCGATCTACCAGAGTAGGGTGGGGCAGGGGGAGATTCCAACAGAGCCTCCAGCCCAGGTCCTCCGACCCCTGGCATGCAACTAATATCCCCCATTCCAGTTCCCACCATCAACAGGTGCTCAGATGAGACAGCTGTTTAACTGCACAAAGGAGGAAACTGAGGCCTCCCTGGCTCTCAAACCAGACAACCCTCCTCTCATTCTTTCCATGCCCTACACAACCCAACACAACTTCTGAACGTGCACCGTGGATGTGCTGTCCTCGGGATCTGGGAAGTCTGGGGCATGTCTCTATGTTGCAATGGAGAGCACTGGGTTTGGAGCAGGAGGGCCTGGGTTCAAATTCTAGCTTTGATTTTCACTACCTGCCTGACCACAAGCAAGTCCTCTATGAAAAGACTAGATGGTTGGACCAGATGGCTTCTATGATCCCAGTACAGATATATACGAGCACATGAACATGCCTGTGTTTCCACGTGTGGTGGGGACAGATTCACTGTGCAGGCCTTGTCCTGGTTAGGGTCCAAGGGCTTAGATGCTACCAGGCTCCAGCAGGGCTAGCAGTAAGAAGGGAGGCCGGGCCCCTGAAGGCCAGCAGCTGGCCCTCAGCATTGCGGCAATCTCAGGCTTCGGAGCATTGCCCCAGGGCACAGCCCAGGACTAAGGGTCACTCTTCCTGAGACTGGCCAAAGGCAGGAAAGCAGGCTGGGAGCCAGGGAGCCAGGGAGCCTGGGGCCTGCCCCAGCTCCCCTGCTGATGCAGGAGCAGAGGATTTAGAGCGGAAAGGGATCTTGGAAAACACTAGGTCCAACCCTCTGCAATTTATATAAGAGGAAAATGATACCCAGAGAGCAGACAGGATCTGTCCAAGGTCACAAAGTGAAAGAGATTTGAACTCATGTCCCTTACTACTGAATCCAATTCCCACAATGTCACCGGCACCTATGCCCTGGGGTGGGGGTCAGGATGGGGGGGGAAGAGATTCCTGTCCCTTTCTGTGCCTCAGAGTTACCTTCTGAGAATGGGGAGAGGAAACCCCATCTGGGTGTCAAGAAAAGTCAGGAAGGTGAATCAGACTTTCAAATTGGCAGGTCTGTGGTAGAGGCAGCGGGGCCCTTGTGTTGAGGTTCAAAGTCACAAGGGGAAGGGATGCTCGGATCCCCTCAACCTCCCCAGAGAGCCTCCCCACAGGGTTGGAAAGAGATTTGATTTCACATTTTACACTGAAATGGAGGCGGGGGGAACCTCACTGGGGAAGCGGGGGAAGGGGAATGTAGGGAAAAACCAGGGTTCCCCCCACCCCAACAGGAAACGTGGGTGGGGAGCTCCCGGGAGGCCCCAGTGCAGCTGCACTGAGAGGGGGGGAGGGCCCAAAAGAGAAGAACAGAGAGGCCCCCTGACCCCGACTGACTCTGGCCAAAGCACCACCCCCCGACCTCAGAAACCTAGCGCACAATCCACAGGAGAAATGACGTCTTCAAGGATGATAAGCCTGTGTAAAAATGTGTCAGTGTTTATGTATGTGTCTGGTCTGTTTCTATACCTGTTCAAGTGTCTATCATTCATCAATCTATCATTTCTCAGCTGCCCCACCCCCACTCATCACAGGGAGAAACTATCTACTGACCCAATTCAGGTCGAATGACTCTCCCAAGGTCACCTGGGATGATGCTTACTCCCTATCTGATGTTGGGGAAGGCAATTCACTTCCCCAGGTCTCAATTTCCTCATCTGTAAAATGACTAGATGGTTGGACCCAATGGCCTTTGAGGGGTGTCCCAGCTCTGGAGCTATGATCCCATGGCACCTTCCCAGCTCACATAGGTCTACTAGGTGCCCACAGCCTTGGCCTCATGTACCCACACTCGGTTTCTGCCAGGATCCAGAGGCCAGGAGCCTGGACTCCATGCCTTTTCACTGGTCTTGTTCATGGGCAAGGAGCAGGGCAGCTTAAGCTCACATGCCATATAAACACCCAGGGGTCCTGCTTTCTCCCAACACAAATGCCCAGGCCAGGCACCCTAACCTCACTCATGATGGGTGCACAGGATTACACCAAAGACATCCAGGTGGGGGAGGTATTGCCCTCCTATGGAACAGATGCCCAGGCCTGGGGCACTGCCGTTCTATGGCACTGTCCTCATGCACAATGGACACCACTGAGTCATATGCTAAGGACCGTGCAGCATAGATCAGTCCTACCACACACATCATGCGTGTCCAGGCGCCCTGCCCCAAAAAGTCACTGATGACTGTGGTCCCTTCTCTCATACTCCACAATGCCCACAGCAGGGGCATATGCCCTCGAATACCAAGGCCAGGGTCACTGCCCTCAAATGCCATGGATTCTTGGGAGCTCTGCTCTCACATACCCAGACAGGAGGTTCTGACCTGACAGTAACTGACGCCTGAAGCCCTTCCCTCACAGCTCAAAGATGCCCAGGTCAGGGGCACACACCCTCAATGGATGAGCAGGCCAGGGCCTCTGTCCTCAAATGCCAGGGATGCCTGGGGGTGCTCTCCCAGTCTACAGATGCCCAGAGTGGGGTCATATCCCTCACTCACACATCACTGTCCTCAAACAACCGCCCCAGTCTCCCAATAGCCCTCTGGAAACAGAAGGAAACAGGCTAGCTGTCTGGCTGGACTGTCCTGGATCTGGATACCAGAGACTGGGACACTGATTGGGCAAAGTCTGGAGACAGTGCCCTCCTGGCACCACTGGCTCATGCAGCTACCAAAGACCCCCCCTGTAAGCCTGAGGACCTCCTGGGGGGACTGCCATCAAACTGTGACATCATTCCCGGGGTTGCTGGACTGCCGTCTCCTCCCCACCCCAGTATCTCATCTTCAAAGAGAAAGCCACTTGCTTGGTGTGTGACTTTGATCCAGTCCTTTCTGAGTTCTAGGTCTGACTTATTTTCCCCACATCTAAGATGGGCAGGGGCAGAGGAGTGGAGATAGACTAGCAGATATCCAATCTCCTTCTACCTCAGTTCTAAGGAGACTCAAACCCTCTGAATTCTTAGGCCTTGTGCTTCCTGGTTGAAGGGCTTCCTAGGACTGAGCTTCCTTTTCCGTCCAGAGATACAAGCAGAAAAAGCCATGGATTTGGTGACAGAGCGCCTGGGTTTGAATCTGCTTACTCATGTAACTGCGTGACCTTGGACAAGTGAGTTAACCTCTTTGGGCCCATTTTCTCCTTTGCAAATGAGAGGGTAGGACGAGAAGGTCTCTAAGGTACCTGCCATCTCTAGGTCTCTGATCCAAGGATCCCTGAGCTCCCAATCCAGATGTCACCAAGAAAGGCAAGGCTGTGTGGGAAAAGAGGGGAAATCCCCATTTGTCCCCAGAATCTTACCACTGGCGAGGAAATTCGACACCCGGGGCAGTCACAGATGGGAGGATGAACCTGTAAGATGCCTTTGGACATAAGGGTCTTCAGACTTTTCCCTGAATGCAAGCAAGAGAGAGAGGAAAAAGGAGAGAAGGAAGGTGAGACCAGGAGGCAGGGATAAGCAAGCCTAATGCACACTTAGAGCAGGGGAGGCTACCAATCCGGAACACATGGGGGCCTAAACTGAACCAGATAAACCCTGGCTAGGACCTCATCCCACCCTGGGGAGCAGGGCAGCTGCTAGTAACGTGGCTCACATGTACCCTGCAAACGTGGCAGAGACTGAGGGACACACATACGTAAGGCATGGCCCACTAACCATCCACAGATGCGCACCCACACAAAGCCTGCGTGCACACACACATGCTCCAAGTGAGGCCCGGGTGTTCACAGATGTGCACATACAGATGCAGGCAGGCACTCGGAGCACACACACATACCCAGAGGCACACACCATATATAAGCTGTGAACGTGCCCAGATGCACCCCCACCGAGCAGCCGAGGCACAGACCACACAAGCATGCTCAGACCCACAAGATGCAAAGCCTGCACACTCAGACCTCCTGTGCCTGGCACAGACCACACACACACACACACACACACACACACACACACACACACACCACAGACCCACACCTTGCATTCTAGGCGCACAGACCGCAAAGACCACCCCCTGGTCTTCCCCGATCCAACCCCCTGCACCCACATATCTCTCCCCCTCACCCCCCCACCCCCATGCGCAGGCACACAGGGCACAGTGATACAGACCCTCCCTTGTACCTCAGGCCAACTTTCTGGCTAGAATTAGGCGGCCCCGCCTCGCCCCAGTCAGCTGGGGAGCCCCCCCGCCCCCGCCCCCTCCCCCTACTCCTGGCCCGAAGCACATACCCCAGGGCTGGCCGCCCCAGAGCTGGTGTGGTGCCGAGCCCGCCCTCCCCACCCTGCCCCGCCTTAGCCGCGCGCAGATTCGGCAGGAGACTGCTGAAACCTAAGCCCGCAGCGCAACCGCCCGCCTGCCTTCCGTCCCCTAACGCACAGCGGCTTCCCAGCGGGGCTTCCCGGGGGAACCCAGGAGGCCAGCCCGTGGGCAACTAGGCTGGCAGGAGGTGGGAGAGTACTGCAGCGAGGCGGCTCCCGCCCCCGCCCCGGCCCCTGCGGGCTCCTGCCCGGGGCTGCCCCTCCCGCCTGCTCAGCTAATGAGCTGTCAAGCCTGCCGCCCCCAGCGCCCCGCCAGCTCCTCCACCGCCTCCGCCTCCGCGCAGCCCTCCGGGGGCTGTCCGTTCCCGTTTCTCCAAGGGGACTGGGGGGGGGGTCGGCCACTCTGCTCCCCATCCCCCAGCCCTAGTACTGAGCGGCACCCCCTTCCCCATCCCGTAGGATGCCTCCCTCCACCCAGCAGCTCCCTGGAGCTGCGCCGCCATAGACCCCCTCCAACTTTCTAACTCAGCTTCGACCCCCAGAGCCCGCACTCACTGAGCTGGCTGGATAGGCAGCAGGCCAGCCTCCCTGCCCTACCCCCCCCCCCCCAAAAACCCGGCGCGCTCTCCCCCCCCCCCCCCCCCCCCTCCTCCCCGCCCCGGCTCTCCCAGCTGCTGCCGCTTGTCCCCTCCCCACAGCGCTGTCTCTCTCTCTTTCTCTCTCTCTCTCTCTCTCTCTCACACACACACACACACACACACACACACACACACATGCACACAAGCGCACTGTCTCATCTACACATACACAGAGAAACAAACAAATGGACAAACACGTACAGTCTCACTCCCCAGCGCGCAGGCACACAACCCCCTACAGGAACCCACACACACAAAAGCGCACACACTCATATACACAGACAAACAGTCCCGCAGACCACTGTCTCTCTCAAACGCACTTCCAGTCCTGGAGACACACTGGCACACACGTTTCCAGGCACACAGGCCTCCCCCTGTCACATCCCCAGGCCCACAGACCCCAAAACACACAGCCCATCCCTTCCCTCCAGACCCGGAAAGCTGAGGCTTGAAGTGATTTCTCGAAGCCCTCACTGTTCCTCTCCCTGCCTCAGCCCAGAGTTCTCTCAAAGTTTGGGGGGGGTGAGGGTGGGAAGAGAAGGGAACCTCAAAGATTGGGGGAGATGTCGGTCCTTCCGCCTGCATTCTTCGCCCTCGGCCCACCCGAGTGCCTGGCAGGAATGGGTTGTGTGAGCGTAGATGTGAAATGTGCATGTCTGGGGTGGGAAGGGTGTATCCCAGGCCTGGGGGGGGGGGGTTCGGCAGCGCCCCCTTGGGGCCAGGCCGGGCCTCGGGCCACCGCAGGGCCAAGGTCAGGGCGCCCCCTTTGGGCCGGGCAAGGGAGGTGGCAGAGGGGTCCCCCAGTTCCCCGAGTGCTGGAGAGAGCCCGGTGCGTTCCAAAGGGTCCCAGAGCAGGGAGGTACCTTTGTGGCGGATGCTCCGCTTCCAGTCCTTGGCTGTCTCGCGGCCGCTGACGAATTGGAACTCGTTGGGGGTGAGCCACTCGCCGCGGTAGCGGATGGAGGGGCCCTTGCTCCCCTGGCAAAGCTTATGCACATAGAGCAGCGCTCGGTTGTCGCCGCACTCCACCTCTATGCACGGCTCGCCGTGGTCCAGGAAGGGCTGGAAGTCGGGAGCTGCCGAGAAGCGCTCCAGCGCTACCTCGTCCGGGGGCAGCGGCAGCGGCCGGTGCGCCCGGGGCAGGCTCAGGTAGGCGCGCGGGGGGTGGAGGTGGAGGTGGGGCGGCGGGGGCGGGGGCGGCGGCGGGGGCGGCGGCGGGGGCGCGAAGAGAGGCTCGTAGCCCCGCGGGGGTGGGCCCGTCAGGGGCACTGGCACCGGGATGGGGATAGCGGCGGCGGCGGCCAGCGGCGCCAGGTAGTCGGGCAGCGCGTCCAGGGGCTGGTTGAAGGCGGCCAGGGCCATCTCCTCCCTGGCCGAGAGCTCCTTTTTGACGGCCGGCATGGTGCCGAGGCTGCACCGGGGCGCAGCCTCGGGCCCCGAGCGATCAAGTTGTCTGCCTCCTCCTCCTCCCTGTCCTCCTCCTCCTCCCTGTCTTCCTCCTCCTCCTCTTCCTCCTCCTCCTCCTCCTCCTGGTCTTCCTCCTCCTCTTCCCTCTACTGCTGCTGCTGCTGTTCCGAGCTCCGGCTGGAGTTGGGCTGCCGCGAGCCGGCGGCCCCTCGGGCGCTCCGGGGGCGGGGGCGGGGGCGAGGGCGGGGGCGGGGGGCGGCAGTGGCGGCGGCGGGAGGCGCCCGCCGGCAGCCGGCTGCCCCAGTAGCGCGCCCGCGCCCTGGGAGCTAGTGCGCCGAAGCCCCCGGGGCCGGCGCCGCCGCCGCTACTGGCGCCCGGACTGCAGCCGCTGCGGTGCCTCTCGCTGGGCCGCCTCTCCAGCCCGAGACCTGACATCCTGCCGCGGGCTCTGCAGCCCGACACATGGTGCTGCTTGGAAATACTTATTGATCCCGATCGACCCGCCGACCTCAGCGGCTCCTGCCCCTGGCCCGGGGCCCCCAAACTCCGAGCCCTACGGGGCCCCGCTCCTCAGGGGACTCGAGCCATCCGGGCGCCTTGCCGCGGGCTTCCCCCCTCAGTCCCCACTCGGGTCCGAACCCAGACAGTGGAAATTGGCCGTAGCCTTTCCAGCTCTGGCTTCTAGCATTTTCCTCCCTTCGGCCCCCGCCCCGGAGCGCACATACCCCTACTGCCCCAAACGCACACGCATACACACGCGTGTGCATACACGCGTCTGATCACTGGGAGTTGGGAGACTCGGGCCCCAGCGGCTGCCCCGGTGCAGCCGCCGCTCTTCCAACTTGGCCCATTTAAACGGCCCCCGCGCGGCGGGCGAGCGCCAACTCCGGCGGGGGGTGCGCGACGGCCGACCGAGGCCCTCACCCCCCCCCCCCCCCCCGCAGTTTGGACGCGGCGGCAGCTGTGAGTCGGAGCGGGAGCCCATTAATGACCAGGGCCGTGGGGGCGGGGGCGCGGGGACATCCCAGCCTCGAATTCCTCCCGAAGCAAGGGAGAAGTCCGGGAGTACAGAGCGTGTGAGCGCAGCCACTGCCGATCCCGCTCCGTTATTAATGATTTTAATTGCTGGCTGGGTATTTATGGTGATGGGGTGTGAAGGCCCGAGCCGCCCTCCACGTGGGGAGCTGGGTAGGTGCGAGGGTGAGGACCCCTGTCTGCCTGGCGGGTGATGGGAACTCGAGAAAGAGAGAGACAGAAAGGCAGAGAGAGACAGAGAGACTGGGGTGGGGTGGGGGGGGGAGACAGACACAGAGAGAGGGGAGAGGGAGGACAGAGAGGCGGGAGGGGGGAGGGGGAGAGAGAGAGAGAGTGCTGGGTTAAGGGTTGGAGGGGTGGGCATGGTAGAGTGTGAGGCCGCAGAGATTTCTATGCTTCTGCGGGAGGCCGTGTGGAGTGGGTGGTGTGCAGTTTGGACAGGGCCACGGCAAAGGAAGAAAGGGGAGCTGAAAGTGAATGGGCGTGCAAAGGGGACCCTGGGAGCTCTCTGAGAACGAAACTTGCTTTGTCTCCTCAGGCTTAGCACACTGGCCGACATAGAGTGGGCGCTTAATAAATGCTTGTTGACTGAGGGCGGTAAGCAGACTGGAAAAGCTTTGAGAAGGTCACAGGGCTATGGTGACCCATTTCAGGTTGAACGCTACCCAGTAACTTATCAGGGAAGTAACCGTCCCTTGGCTACCAAAGGAGGCAGAGGCAGGCTGACCTTACCTAGAGCCTCTGTCCCACTCGGCCCCCCCACCCCCACCCCACACACATACCTGGAGAGGGGCCGGAAATGTCGCTGAAGAGATTATTCCTAGACCAAACTTGGTTGTTATGGTAATCCACAGTCCTTCCCCACTCAGCCTATAGAGGAGATGTGCAGCCACACATACCTCACTCCTCCCCACAGATACACAAACGCACACACACACACACACACACACCTCACAGACAAACAGAAGTTTGCACTCCACTGAGAAATTTCCTGTGGTTCTGCCAGTTACAGCTGGTGAGCCCTAGCTCAGGGATCAGTCAGCTGGGCATCCCTGGGTACACAGTTCTAGTCAACTAGAGTTATAATTGACTACAGTTAATGGGCAGATAGTGAAGCCTACAAATTAGAATCATAATAGATCCAGAGGGGAGAGAGGTCAAGTTCAGAGGGGCCTGAGATAATTGAGGAAGTATTGGGGACCTTAAGTTTGAGTGACCATTAAAGAGAGGCACCTAAACTGGGCCTGGAAAGAAAATAAGGAATTCATCAGGCAGAGACGGGATGAAGGAGGATCTGGGCAAAAGTGTGGAGGTGGGAAGATATGTTGAATTTGAGGAATAGTTGGAAGTTGGTTGAAACATGGAGAATGTGAAGATAAGTAATTTGAAAGAAGGCTGAAAAGGGAGATTGGAGCTAGATCTTGAAGGGCCAGGCTGAGGAATGTGCGTCTTTATCTCAGAGGTAATGGGGAGCCAGTAAAGGCTAACTGACAGAGATTTGCCTGAGGAAAATTATTTTGGCAATTCTGTGAAGGGTGGATTGGAAAAAGGAGAGACTGGAAACAGAAGCACAGTTAGGCAGCAGTGTCATAGTCTACTGGAGAGGCGATGAAGGCCAGAGTGAGGGTGGTGACTGTGAAAAGGGAGTCAGGTGTTCCTGAGGTTGTCAATATAACCCACCCCTCCCCCCACTTGGCAGCTGAGGCATGAGGGGGTGAATGGGAAGACCTGAAGATGATTCTGAGGCTTCTGGCCTGGGTGACCAGGAGGGTGGTGGGGCTCTCACTAGAAACTGAGACATGAGAGGAAGGGGCAGAGATTTTGGAAAAACAGCTGTCCTAGACATTGGAGGATGGAAGGGGGAGGATATGGATGAGAACAGGCACCTTGCTGTCTTGGTGAGACAACAGACAGATGTGGACAAAGCATCGTCTTAACCTGTGCCTAGTGACATAAGAAATCCTGGGCCGGAAGTTCTGAGGGAAGGGGGGGTTAGTTCTGCCAGTGAAGGGGCTGCTGCCTGATTCTTCCATCCAGAATCCTGCCTTTTGTAGTTCCTTGGGGCCCAGGACAAAGGACAACATCTCCCACCTCCACACTTTTGCCCAGATCCTCCCTCATCCCGTCTCTGCCTGATGAATTCCTTATTTCCTTTCCAGGCCCAGTTCAGGTGCCTCTCTTAAATGGTCACTCAAACTTAAGGTCCCCAATACTTCCTCAACCATTTCACAGACTAAGGAGGCACAGGGTGAGCTACCCTTCATCGTTTAGGACTGCAAGGTTCTAAGGTACTTGACGAGCTCATTTGATCTCATAGCAACCTTGGGGGGGTAAGTGCTATTCTTCTTCCTGTTTTACAGATGAGGAAACTGAGGCATAGAGTGGTTAAGTGACTTGCCCAGGACCACAAATCAAGTGAAGCATGATTTGTACTTGGGTCTTCCTAACTCCAAGCCTAGCCTTCTATTCATTTACACCCCCACCTCCCTCTTCATATATATGTATTAACGAGAGGCGTTTCTTGAGCACCTACCAAAAAAAGTGAAAGATTACCCCACACCTCCTTGAGGAGTTTCCATTCTACTGACTGGCTTAAGGGAGGGGGCAGTGTGGCCAGGATCTAACCTAACCACCAGGAATTCTTCTGGGGTCTCTTAGAAAATGAGTAAACCTTCAAGGACCATGGCCAGAGCTCAGCCCAAGGTTTTCTGCGCCCTACATAACGTTGAAAAGTTGCTGCTGTCCCCTGGAATCTTTAAAGGTTTTATTCTAACCAATACAAATTGACTTATCACAAAATAAAGATGTGTGGACTGTGGAGAGAGGAGTTTCCTGGCATTAAGGGCAAGTCCATTTATAAAAAGTCACATTGCAATATGTCCTTTGCTGCCCCCTCCTTGGCACTGTCACCTGGGAAACTGGCTAACTTGTCTCTTCCTAGTTCCAGCTCTGGCCTGGGAACAGATTCAGACAAGGAGACCTGAAGTCCTGCCCAGAGTTAGGGAATGAGACCTGGCACCAGAAAGGGAAAGAAATAGAGTTGGGTGGATTCTGTCCCCTCCCACCCCCAGACCCTTGTCCCTCAACCACCTTGGGGCTCCACCCATCCTCCTATCTTCCTGACCTCACCTCTGCACATGTCACTAAGCTCACTAGGTTGGATGTGGGACCCTTTGGCCCAAATCCAGGTAAACCCAAGCCCAGAAGCACTTGATTTCAGCCCAAGACTGGAAGGGATGGTGAGATAGAGATTGGAGGAGGGGCTTGGAGCAAAAGCTGGAAAAACTTGGAGGTCAGAGGTGACAGTGGTCACAGGAGCGGCAGACTAGAAGGAGGAGCCCTAGTGGAAAGGGGAACCTGAGGGGGAAGGGCCGGGATTCTGCTTGGAGCTCCCCAAAGAAAGGCTGCCGGGGTCCCTTTCCTATGGCGTGATGGTGGGTCAAGGAGCCAGCTTGAAGCCAAGAGCCAACCACAGTCCAGAGGCAGAAGTCCCTTGGGAGGTCCTGAAATGGACAGGATCAGAATAACAATAAAAACACTTTGGGGGCATTTCTCAGTTTTTGAAGTAATTCACATTTCAGCCTCATTTGAGTCTCAAACAACCCTTGAGGTAGGGGGGTAGAGTTAGGTGTAAGAAGACTGG